AAGGCAGTCATCCTACACAGCATCATGGAATTACCATATTTATCTCTAGAAGGATTCAATATCCTCAGAGTTCTTTGTAGATATACCACTGGATACTCAAGTCCACCTTAACAGTTTAGTCACCAGCAGAGCTGTGGCATGAATTAAAGGTTTCATAATGGGAGTGTTAATGGTTTTGATATTCTATTCCTAGTTCCTTTCCCCTGGGAAGCAAACATGAATAGAAAACTACCCATTTACTGTAATAAATGATGCAGGAAGAGTATATTGATGTAAGAATCCTCACCTACTGACTTCACTCAAGCGGCAGTGATTAACATCCAGTATGAAGATCCTGTTTCTCATTTCCACCCCACAATGATTTTATTAAATTGTAGGTTCAGGAGGGCGCCAAAGTCTTCCGAGTCCAGCTCTGCCAGGCCCCAGGGAAGATTGCTTACCACAGCACACATACCCCATAATCCTGTCCACAGTGTAGTGCATAATGCAAGGCATCAGAGCAAACAAGGTTAAACACCACAACAGAGGACCTGCAAATTAGCCTGCCCCAGATAGCTCAAGAAAGTGAGCCACCCCACATTCCACAGAAGAAATAAAAAGGATTAACTAATGCAAAGGTAGAGATATTGCTGGGCTACAACTCATTACCACTGACCAACAGCCTTGCCAGCTGAGGCTGATGGGGGTTATATTCCAAGATGATCTAAAGGGCACCACATTGGCTACCCCTAACCTGAGTAGAAGAGTCTGAGAGGATACAAAATCACACAGGTGGAAAGTGCCAGAAAATTTATAGCAGTTTTTATTGTGAAAGGGGGATATATATGTGTGTCAGTTGGCTTTATGTTAAAAGCAATCAGATCAGTAAACCAGGGGTTTGCTGACAATGCTTACACATTTACTATGGAGGGTCAGTGGTCACGCAGCAATTTCTTTTTACTTAGCCATTCAGTTTTCGATCTGCTTCTGGCAAAGCAGCAGCAGGGCAAGGAGTTCACATAACTCAGAGATCAACCTCCTTACCGTTCATTCACTTATGCTGTACTTCCACATTTAGCCTGCCCCAGGGTCACAAAAGTCTGAATTCAAATACTGCATGTTTATTTTTAACTTCATGAATGGCTTAGCAAAAGATCCCTGATAGGCACACTAGGACATTTAGCTTCCACATTCAGCGGGAAGCAGATCTGTTCCTGAGATTCCACACAGCATTTAACGTAGGGTAATATCCCCCATTACAATCTAGCAATGCTCACCACCCCCAGGGGTGCACCAGCCATAGATAAAGTGCACCAGCCATAGGAACCTCAAGCAAGTTTGCATTTTGTCCTTTAACTTTCATTTGCACGCTTCTTGTTTTTTTAACACAAAATCAAAACAATTAAAAGAAGGAGAGAGAAAAGGCAAATTCCAGTTATTGAAAAGCCAATGGGAGAAGGGAACAGACTACAAGGTACATAATGGCAAAGGGACAAGAGGTTCAAATCCTGTGGATCACACTTTGGTAGTGGAGATTTAATCTAATCACCAATTCCCTCTTTCTCCCAAATCTGCGTGGAAAAATGTAATCTTTTAGATTACAAGTGGTACCTAGGTGACGTCAGGATTAAAGTACTTAATTCATCTCCGGGAGCCGTTAACTGAAACTGTTCCTTAAACCTGAACCCTGTTCTTAAGCGGGCCTTCCCCCGACCCCAGCCCCCAAACAGGCAGCTCTCTGCAAGCCGTGGGAGCGCTCCCGCTACTTGCGGTGAGGTCCCCGAAGCCTGGGCGCGCTGATCTCAGCGTGCGCAGGCTTCGGCATGCAGGCAAGTCTCCACAAGCAGCGGAAGCGCTCCCGCTGCTTGCGGAGAGGTGTGCGAAGCCTGGAGAGCGTGAGGGGTCGGTGCACACCGACCCCTCTCACTCTCCAGGCTTCAGTGAAAGCCTGCATTCGCACCATAGGACACACACACATTTCCCCTTCATTTTTGGAGGGGAAAAAGTGCGTCCTATGGTGCAAAAAAATACGGTAGATAAATAGGTACCGCTCCGGCGGGAAGGTAAATGGCATTTCTGTGTGCTGCTCTGGTTTGCCAGAAGCGGCTTAGTCATGCTGGCCACATGACCCGGAAGCTGTCTGCAGACAAACGCCGGCTCCCTCGGCCAATAAAGTGACATGAGCGCCGCAACCCCAGAGTCGGTCATCCGGGTAATGATGCACAAATAGCCACTGGGGCCTAGGAGCCAACTCCTAGGGGCCAAGGTCCCTTTGCCCCCCCTAAAATATTTGAGGGGCCCCCACAGTTGAGGGGAATTCCCATTCAAATGGTGTGTGTGCTGTGTCACATGATTGATTATGCGGAACAGGGTTTATCTCCCCCCCCCATATTTTATTCAATATTGGCTGATTAACATTAACATTCTGTGGCCTTTTAAATGTGTTTGTGGGAGGAGGGTTATTAGTTTGTGCTTGTTTTTGCTTTGTGATATATTTTGTTTTATCATTTTAAGTTTTTATGTTGTAGACCGCCCTGTGATCTTTGGATGAAGGGCAGTATACAATTATTATTATTATTATTATTATTATTATTATTATTATTAAGCATACACGCTTTAGGACCCAGTTGAAAAGTCAACAATTATATCTGGGATAGGTATTTGCAATAGAAGTCAGCGGCTGTTATATATTCTGCACTCATTCAGAATCCAAATAATGTTCACTGACATTCTATCTCAAATGGGTGCTGCTTATTAAGATTGGCATGGCTTCTATCTTCATCATTAATTAATTAATTAATTACACTCCATCCAGCAACAAAGGCTCTGAGGGCAGGGCACAGCAACAGTAATGACACAATAAAAGCAAAACAAGAATACAAAAACCAGCTGAAACTGACACGGGGACAAATAGAAGAAGACACCTTCTTTATGGCTCCCCTTTATGCCATACAAAGCCCAACAAGACAATGACAAAAACCCACCAACAGCATACAAATCAATATGGCTAACCTGATCCAAAACACCCACCCACCCCACTCGCACATGAAAACAAAGACCACCACAGCCAACCACAAATGCATATCCCCACCCTAGGCCAACCCCAACCTCTCTCACCACCAAAATAACACAAGTGAACAGCAAAGAACCTGCACAAGCAACACTGACACCAAACCCTACATATAGTAAGTAAAATAGAAACATTGCCACCCATACCCCACCCCCACCCATCTTCCCACCCCTCCACCTCTTTCCCCCTTTTCTTCCTAATGTCTCAACAAATGAAACTGATTTGTAAATATGTTACTGGGGGGGGGGGATACAAGACAGAGACATTGCACATACTTTTGTAAATCAATAAAATCTTGAATAAGAATAAGAATAAGAATACAAAAACCATTTCCATCCAAACATGAAAAAGCACAATAAAATGGCACATCTTAACAATGAAAACTCAGCAGACAACCACAGATAGATATAGAAGGATGTGTTGGGGGCGGGGGAGAGAGAGAATCAAGCGTGGGAACATTTAAAAGCTCTTTGTCTGGCACTGAAATGATATAAACACAGGCACTTTGCAAGTATCCCTGAGAACACTGCAGAGGTGGCGTACCAGAAGCAAAAAGACTCTCTCCTTACCGTACTTTGAATGACTAGGGCACTCCAGTTCATATTAACATCACAGTGACTGAGCAGACCACTAGGGATGAAGACAGTCAAACAAACATCTGTCCACTAAACTATGTAGGGCTTTAAACCTCAGTACCCACAAGTTGAACGGACTCTGAAACCCATTGGGAGCTGGTCAATCTGCTAGCATGAACTGGAAGTGTAGAGGCAGCGTGGGGTGGGCACACAGTGGATTTTCATCACTCGTGATGAAAAAAGTGTCTTTAGCTTTGCTTTCATCTCTATCAGAAGCTCCCTTATATTATCATTATTTCTTGAATTTATATACCGCCCTATACCCGGAAGTGTCAGGGCTGTTCAGGAACACAGGAACTGTCAGGAACACAGGCAGCTGCTTCCTACCAAGCCCAGCATTGTCTACACTAACTGGCAGCAGCTTCAGAGTTTTCGGACAGGAGCCTGACTTGGCGTTGCCAGGGAGTTGGAGCCACAGTTCTCCCTTCACTACTGTGCTGGCAGCTATGCAGGCCCTCATGCAGAGGTCTTCCCAGACATGTTAGCTGCGATCTTTTTAACTGGAAATGTCAGGGATCCTACATGGGATCTTCTGCACACAAAGTGTGTGCTCTGACACTGAGCTATAGCCTCTTCCCAGCTGTAGGCCAACTGGCAGAAAATGTGGCAAAAGAACTTGAGTTCAAAATGGAGAATGAACACAGGTTTCCTATGCAATCCTAGGCATCCCATTCCTCTTCCTCTCCGTGTCCAATTCATCCCTTGACTATTTTAATGGCAAGGGGGTGTCTGTGTTTTCTTAGTGTGTTTAAGCCCCAGTTCCAGCCACACCATGCTGCCATTAGGTTCCCCAATGCAGTGCCTGTGAGCACAAATGGAGCCCTCAGAACACCCACCTTTGGCACCAATAAAAAACACACAGTTGTTTTGGCTTCTTGCTTGCTTGTTTGGCAGGAGAGTTGCCTGCTTTTTTCTTAGTGTCACGGGGCACATGTGGCTGTTTGCTCTCTTTTTTTGTGGGGGCTGGGTTCTGAACATTGCCAGTTTTTCATCTGTGAAATGGGTATATTTTTGGTGCCCACAACCGTTTCTTTGATTTCCATCTATGCCCCTTGGCCCAGTATCCTTGTTTGCTATAAAGTACAATGGCACAGTGGCAGTGATGGGGGAAATCCTTTTCTCCAATAGAAACACCTGTGAGAATGAAAAGAAATAAGTTTTTCATGAAAGAAGCCACGTGGCCTCTACTACTGCTGCTCTGACCAAACTCTGCCGGTCATTCTTCACCTCTGCTTAAGAGGGCTTGCTTGGATGCTGAAGCTCCAATGTTAAGGAGGAAAGTTTGGGCACATCCACATAACTGCAAAATCCTCCTTTTAAATGAGCAAAGGGTGCCACTTAGCTACAGGGTGCTGGATGGACTGTGCCATGCGATGCCAGTGGTCATTCATATCGTTGGGTCCTCGTTTCCCCAGCACAGCCTGTCCTACAAGCTGCTTGCTTCTGGGACGCAGCTCATAAATGGAAATGAGGAGAGCACAATCCCAAACTATAGGCTGAGGCAGGTGGAACAGGAATGTTTCATTGAAGACAGTAATTGATGTGAGGGTCTTGGGCTTGGATTTCTGATGCTTCTGCTTATGGAGATTGCAGAAGACATCGATCCTTGCATATATACCTGGAACAGAAAGAGCATCAGAAGGAGTGGCAACATGAACACCAGAGTCTCTGTCAATTCTGGAGTTATTGTCCCAAGATCACAACTATTCCTCTGAACTGGGCAGAGATTTAATAATTTATCTTTTCCTTGCATTGAGGCTGAGAGGGAGGAATTTGACGATTATTGGAAGCAGCAATACCCTCTATCTCTGGGAGAGGGAGGACTACAAATGTCTGTGACACAGCCATACAGGAGAGGCAAAAGGAGGAAGAATCTAACACTGCAAATGAGATATAATGAGCTAAGGCTTCAGAAGCACTAAGAACAACATACTCTGGAGCAAACTGGATATGCATATTAATCTCTAGCTTGGTCGCAAGAAAGCAATTACAGAATATAAAACAAGGGTTCTAGTAGGGTTGCCATATTTCAAAAAGTAAAAACCAGAATACATCGAAACCTTTTTTTTTTTTTTTAGGAAGACCCCAACATTCTTGAGCTTTTTTTTTAAGAAAAACCCAAAAGGGCAAAGTGTTGCTTTTTGGAAATTCACCCCACCCTCGAAATCCCAGTAATGTCCAGGATAATCCGGATGTATGGTAGCCCTAGTTCTAGAGATCTTTTGGAAATTTAGGTAAACATGAAACTCATATTCCAGTAAAACAAAAAAAAAAGCAAGCCTGTAGTCCTCATCTTTGTATGGAAAAGCCTTGTAGTTTTGTATCTGCTGGCGTCAGAGATCAAAGCTGGACTTCCATTTATCAGAAGATGAGGGTCCAGGTCCCTATATAGTTCCCCCACTCCCTTCAATTATTATTATTTGGTCATTTCTCCAGCCCACCTATCTCAGTTTTTGTGCTCTATTGCCTTTCAGCAGTATGCTACATCCATTCTCTTCAGTCACATCTTTGGACCACTTCCTGCACTACAGCCTGAAACAACTTCAAGGGGACAGAGATAGTGAGCTGGGATTTCAAGATTGACTTTATGCTTTTAATGCATGGGGTGAGGAGAAAATGATCATTTCCCAAGACACTCTCCACCTTCAACTATTACTGCTACAGTGTCTGTAGAACTTTAATCTGGCTCTAATGATACCAAGACTCTACATCTCTGGGTCAGTTTTTATCAACATATTCAAGAATACACCTCTCTTGTGAGTCACCTCTTTCCAGGTGGGACAGCAGGTCCGAAGGAGGCAGCACCCAAACATCAGGCAAAGAACAAGAAAACAGATATATTTACGTTTCTCTGGACTGTTGTACAAGAAGGCAGTTTTCACTTTCAGTAGCCCAACCTCTATCTTCTGAGAGATCGGAAGACACTTCAGTGACACAAGAACTTCTCCGACTGTGTCCTGTGAAAAGATGTAAGGGAAACACTGGAGGGGAAGGCCAGCAAATCCACTTGCAAATCTCCTTCAGCCTTACCAACCTTGAGGCCCAGGAATTTCCTTTGGATTGGAATGGGGGAGAGAAAAATCAGCTATGGCTTATTGCCACCCGCTTTTTATTTTGTGTCTGTTTCTTACTCTGTTGCTTCTATGGACAAGGGGTGGCAGTTTCTTCCTGTGGATGCTTGTGGGCAACAATTCATGGCGGTGAAAGGTAGTTGTTCAAAAGCCACAGAGTGAAAGTCTACTTGGCACAGAGTGGGCTGCTCAAAGTGAAAAACAGGGTGGGAACTATTACTAAGGCCGTTGGTTGTTTAATCTGTTTGAATGTATTGTGTGCATGTTTGTGTTCTACCCAGGTGTTTGGTTAAACTGGCTTAATTTTGTCGTTGTGCTTTGCTTGTTTTCCTTACAACAGAATAGTTAATTTCTTGTTTATTTGATTTGGTAAGATTCAGCATGGATACTGAAATCCCTCGGGCCTGTTGTCTTTTACATTTCATCTTGTTGGTTTCAGCTTGCCAAAATTACATTAAATCTTAATTCTGTCTTTTATGGTGTTAGCTATTCCTTCCAGCTTTATGTCATCTGCATCCCATCTATAAATAGGAACTCTGCAGCTCTGATAATGCACGAATCATGTCTTCGTACTTTTGAGAATTTTCTGGGTGATCTCTCTTTGTGGCAGTCTCCTTGTGTGACAGAAATCCACTTGCACAAAGGAACTTTCTATTTCTCCTTTTCCATCCCACTCTAACCCCCCTCCCCACCAGGCACCCTCAAAATCATTTCTGGAGTGTTCCTTCAACACTTGGGAGCAGATTTTGTGGGTGAATTGAAGGCTGCAGGGGTGAGAAAGGGAAGTGGATGCCCCGTTCCATGAGCAAGTGGCTGCTTGCACTACTCTTGATCTCACCTTCTGTGTCAATAACCTGGAATTTTTATTTTGTAATAAAAAATTAATCTAGGATTTTGAGAATTCTCCCAAAGTAATGAAGAAAAACCCCCACTACCTTTGTCGCCTTCTGTAATTCTTCACAGAATTCGATCTTTCTGGAAGTATTAAGTGCATTCAGAGCTATTCTCACTTCCCCCAGAGGCATATGCCGGGAATATCTGTCAAACTGTTTAACCTATGGAATAATTGACATCATAAAATAATAACAATAACAGTAATAATCTGTATTGATTTATGGTGTTTATTCCTGAAATGCTTCACATGCATTTATCCTTGCAATTCATATATATATATGCATAGAAATAATGATGATGATGATGATGATGATGATGATATACTAATGGCCTTATAAATTAGGCCGACGGTAATTATCCCTATGGATGGTGGACTGAAGAGAGATAGTGGTTTGCTTAAAGCCACACAAAGAGCTCAAAAGTGAGGCAATATTTAAACTGAAGATTTCTACACATAGACCACCATAGTATATGAAGTTTGAAAAGACAAATCAATAGGTCATAGTCAATTAATCTTTACTCAGAGTAGACCCATTAAAATTAGTGGACATGACTAACCGAGTGTAGTCTGAGAAACAGTTCAGGCTTCCTCAACCTCGGCCCTCCAGATGTTTTTGAGACTACAATTCCCATCATCCCTGACCACTGGTCCTGCTAGCTAGGGATCATGGGAGCTGTAGGCCAAAAACATCTGGAGGGCCGAGGTTGAGGAAGCCCGAGTTACCGTAGTTGAATACAGCCCAGTATTTCCTGTAAAGGTCATAAGACCTCAGGGGAATTTCCACTCAGATATGTAAGACGGTGTTGAAATTCCAGGCCTTGCTCTGCTCATGCAAATTGCTTAAGGAACATTTTCCTGCGTCACGTAAGTTGACCCTAGATGCTGTTTCTCAGTTCAGGTGTTATTAATGTGATTTCCACATGAACATTTTGCTTTTCATTCCAAGTGCAAAAGTTTGCACTCCATTAATTAATGATGGCCTGGATTTGAACCCATAGCACAACAATACAACCACTACCCCACACTGATTTTCTGGGAAATAACCTTCATAATTATTTTGCACTTATTTGAACAGACACCCCACCATATTCCTTATAACACAAGTCCCATGCTGTTGCTTTCCCCATTATCTGATTTGTTCAGTTGCCGCCTCCCTTTCACACTGGGGTTGATAAAAGCACTATTTCATTCACCTCATCAACGAACACGTCAAAATTTTATCCATTTGCTTTTTTGTGTAGCTCACAAAAACAGTTTCCCCTACATGCAAGATAAAATGTAGGTATGTAGTCCACCACCAGGCAGCCTGAGAAACTTGGGGGAGGATTTTTTTCTTTTTTAAATGGCTTAAGAGCCCAATATATTGAGAAAAAGGGAAACATACGCTGACAGGAAATGCACAAATAGCAGTAATGGGGCACCATGTGTCAAGCCAAGCAAAAGGAATGGAACAAAGTGGAACAGAGGGCAACCGCATGTACCCCATGGTTGCAGGAAAGACATGCACTTATTGGAGATTTCCACAAGATGGAGGCATTGCTCCATAGGCAGCTGAAAGATCAGCAGTTCAGATCTATGATGCACCTAGTTTTTTATTGACAATTTGAAATTATATCGTTACATGCTTTGAAAGGGCTTTCTGTCCCACCCCACTCCTCAAACCACATGACTAGAGCCCTGTGTTTTTTTGAGGCAATTTCTTGCCTCATTTTGAGAACAGCGGCTTCATGTATGAAATGTCATAAAACTTCAGCTTGCAAGTCTCAGTCTTAGTTAGTTGGTGTTAGGGCAATGGTGATGCTTCGCATCTGTATGTATCTGAAAAGCCTACCAAGCTGGAGCTTTCTTTTCTGTGTATAACTTCATCCAGAGTTGTTTTCTAAGCCTACTATTTATACAGCAGAATTGGACCTTTCTCTGCTTCTGTATGGTGGCTGGTACTGCAAGCAAGATCTACACTTTCACTGTGTGTGTATCTTATATCAGATTCCCAATGAATTACAATGGTACCTTGGTTCTCAAACGCCTTGGTTCCCAAACGCCAAAAACCCGGAAGTGTTCCAGTTTTTCGAACGCTTTTCAGAAACCGACGTCCGATGCAGCTGTTGGCTATTGTTTCTGGGGCGCCTGCACCAATCAGAAGCTGTTTTCGAACATTTTGGAAGTCAAACGGACTTCTGGAACGGATTAAGTTTGGTGCTTTTGTTTTTGCTATTTATTTTGCGTTTTTGTCTTTGAGGCTTTTTTGGTTAATTTGTTTTTGTGACTGTGTGGAACCCAGTTCAGCTACTGATTGATTGATTGATTGATTGATTGTGTGACCGTGGAAATGGATAAAAGCCCCCCACCCAAACAATGACTATCAGCAGTGCAGGTAAGAAAAAAATATTAACGTTAATTTTTATCATCTACAATACTGTCTTATTTTATAGTACATTGATTATTTCTTTCATTTTATGGATCAATGGTCTCGTTAGACAGTAAAATTCATGTTGAATTGCTGTTTTAGGGTTGTTTTTTAAAAGTCTGGAATGGATTAATCCATTTTGCATTACTTTCTATGGGAAAGCGCGCCTTGGTTTTCAAACATTTTGGTTTTGGAACGGACTTCCAGAACGGATTAAGTTTGAGAACCAAGGAACCACTGTATACCCCAGCCAATCCACACTTCACAAGATAACAAAGACTGCAGGGCATAGGGGGATGGAGGAGTGCTCAGCCCCACCTGCAGCCACTGCTTTTCCCTTGCAACTGCCCTCAGGCCCCCCTTCCTCTTCAGCTAGGCTCACTTCCATTTTGGAGCCTTTTGGGGGGGGGGGGACATTTGCAGTGAGGAATCAGGAGCCGGCAGAAGAGTTCAGTATCTCCTCCTCCTCCTCCTCCTCCTCCTCCTGGCTGGAACTGTGTCTTTCCCTCAGCTAGGAGAGATGGCACCTCTCAAATGTGTGGGGAGGACCTATACATGATTTTGGCAGCTCGACTGTCTATTGCAGTTCAAGGGGAAATGGCTCAGAATCTCACATTGGACCGATGGTACCACCCCTTACTGCATGTAGATGTGACTTGAGATTTAAACAAGGGCTGGAACTTCCAGGTGCTTTCCACATGATATGGCGTTGCCTTCTTACACATACATACAGCAAGACCAACATTTGCAAGGCAACCCTCATTACAAGCCTGGGAGATTTGGAATTACACTTGACTTCAGTATACTTTATCACCGCACCCCATCTCTCCCACACCTCCACATCTTTTCCCTTTTCTTCCTAATGTCTCAACAAATGAATCTGATTGTGTAATAATTGTTTACTGGGGGGGGATAAATTGGAGAGGAGACATTGCACATACTGTTTGTATCAGGTAAATCTTTGAATAATGAATATAGAGTAAGAGATATGATCAAAAACCATGTTCCATCCAAAATGAAAAAGCACATAAAATGGACATCTTAATGAAACTCAGCAGACACCACAGATTAGATATAGAGGATGTGTGTGTGTGGGGGGGGGAGAGAGAGAGAGAGGGGGGTCAGCGTGGGAAATTTAAAAGCTCTTTGGTCTGGCACTGAAATGGATATACACCAGACTTTTGGCAAGTATCCCTGAGAACACTGCAGAGGTGGCGTACCAGAAGCAAAAAGACGTCTCTCCGGTTATCCTTGTACTTTGAATGACTGGGGCACTCCAGTTTTCCTATTAGAATCACAGTGAATGAGCAGACACTAGGGAGTGAAGACAGTCAACAAACATCTGTCCACTAAACTATGTAGGGCTTTAACCTCAGTACCTCATACAAGTTGAAGACTCTGAAACCCATTGGGGCTGGGTCAATTCTGCTAGCATGAACTGGAAGTGTAGAGCAGCGTGGGGTGGGCACACAGTGGGTTTTTTCATCACTCGTGATGAAAAAAGTGTGCTTTAGCTTTGCTTTCAGTTTGTATCAGAGAGTCCCTTATATTAAATTATTTCTTGATTTATATAGGCCGCCTACCGCGGAAGTGTCAGGGCTGTTTCAGGAAACAGGAACGTGTCAGGACACAGGCGCTGCTTCTACCAAGCCAGCATTGTCTACACTAGCTGGCAGCAGCTTCAGAGTTTTCGGACGGGAAGCCTGACTTGGAGTTGCCAGGAGGGAGTTCTGGAGCCACAGTTTCCCTCACTACTGTGCTGGCAGCTATGCAGGCCTCTCATGCAGAGGTTCTTCTCCCACAGACATGTTAGCTGCGTTTTTAACTGGAAATGTCAGGGATCCTACATGGGATCTTCTGCACACAAAGTGTGCTCCTGACACTGAGCTATAGCCTCTTCCCAGCTGTAGGCCAACTGCAGAAAATGTGGCAAAAAGAACTTGAGTTCAAAATGGAAATGAACACAGGTTTCCTATGCAATCCTAGGCAAACCCATTCCCTTCCTCTCCGTGTCCAATTCATACCCTTGACTATTTTAATGGCAAGGGGGTGTCTGGTGTTTTCTTAAGTGTGTTTAAGCCCCAGTTCCAGCCACACCAAATGCTGCCATTAGGTGTCCCCAATGCAGTGCCTGGTGAGCACAAATGGAGGCCCTCAGAAACACCCACCTTTGGCACCAATAAAAAACATACAGTTGTTTTGGCTTCTTTGCTTGTTTGTTTGGCAGGAGAGTTGCCTGCTTTTTTCTTAGTGTCACGGGGGCACATGTGGCTGTTTGCCCTCTTTTTTTGTGGGGGGCTGGGTTCTGAACATTGCCAGTTTTTTCTCTGTGAAATGGGTATATTTTTTGGTGCCCACAACCGTTTCTTTGATTTCCATCTATGCCCCTTGGCCCAGTATCCTTGTTTGCTATAAAGTACAATGCACAGTGGCAGTGATGGGGGAAATCCTTTTCTCAATGAAACACCTGTGAGAATGAAAAGAAAATAAGTTTTCATGAAAGAAGCCAGGTGGCCTCTACTACTGCTGCCTGACCAAACTCTGCCGGTCATTTTCACTCTCTGCTTAAGAGGGCTTGTTTGGATGCTGAGAGCTCCTAGTGTTAAGGAGGAAAGTTTGGGCACATCCACATAACTGCAAATCCCTCCTTTTAAATGAGCAAAGGGTGCCACTTAGCTACAGGTGCTGGATGGACTGTGCCGATGCGATGCCAGTGGTCATTCATATCGTTGGGTCTCGTTTCCCCGCACAGCCTGTCCTACAAGCTGCTTGCTTCTGGGACGCCAGCTCAAAATGGAAATGAGGAGAGCACAATCCCAAACTATAGGCTGAGGCAGGTGGAACAGGAAGTTGTTTCATTGAGACAGTAATTGATGTGAGGGTCTTGGGCTTGGATTTCTGATGCTTCTGCTTATGGAGATTGCAGAAGACATCGATCCTTGCATATATACCTGGAACAGAAAAGAGCATCAGAAGGAGTGGCAACATGAACACCAGAGTCTCTGTCAATTCTGGAGTTATTGCCCAAGATCACAACTATTCCTCTGAACTGGGCAGAGATTTTAATAATTTATTTTTCCTTGCATTGAGGCTGAGAGGGAGGAATTTGACGATATTGGAAGCAGCAATACCCTCTATCTCTGGGAGAGGGAGGACTACAAATGTCTGTGACACAGCCATACAGGAGAGGCAAAAGGAGGAAGAATCTAACACTGCAAATGAGATAATAATGAGCTAAGGCTTCAGAAGCACTAAGAACAACATACTCTGGAGCAAACTGGATATGCATATTAATCTCTAGCTTGGTCGCAAGAAAGCAATTACAGAATATAAAACAAGGGTTCTAGTAGGGTTGCCATATTTCAAAAAGTAAAAACCAGAATACTCGGAAACCTTTTTTTTTTTTTAGGAAGACCCCAACATTCTTGAGCTTTTTTTTAAGAAAACCCAAAAGGGCAAAGTGTTGCTTTTTTGGAAATTCACCCCACCTTCGAAATCCCAGTAATGTCCAGGATAATCCGGATGTATGGTAGCCCTAGTTTCTAGAGATCTTTTGGAATTTTAGGTAAACATGAAACTCATATTCCAGTAAAACAAAAAAAAAAGCAAGCCTGTAGTCTCATCTTTGTATGGAAAAGCCTTGTAGTTTTGTATCTGCTGGCGTCAGAGATCAAAGCTGGACTTCCATTTATCAGAAGATGAGGGTCCGGTCCCTATATAGTTCCCGCACCCCTTCAATTATTATTATTTGGTCATTTCTCCAGCCCACCTATCTCAGTTTTTGTGTCTATTGCCTTTCAGCAGTATGCTACATCCATTCTCTTCAGTCACATCTTTGGACCACTTCCTGCACTACAGCCTGAAACAACTTCAAGGGGACAGAGATAGTGAGCTGGGATTTCAAGATTGACTTTATGCTTTTAATGCAGTGGGTGAGGAGAAATGATCATTCCCAAGACACTCTCCACCTTCACTATTACTGCTACAGTGTCTGTAGAACTTTAATCTGGCTCTAATGATACCAAGACTCTACATCTCTGGGTCAGTTTTTATCAACATATTCAAGAATACACCTCTCTTGTGAGTCACCTCTTTCCAGGTGGGACAGCAGGTCCGAAGGAGGCAGCACCCAAACATCAGGCAAAGAACAAGAAAACGATATATTTACGTTTCTCTGGACTGTTGTACAAGAAGGCAGTTTTCACTTTCAGTAGCCCAACCTCTATCTTCTGAGAGATCGGAAGACACTTCAGTGACACAGAACTTCTCCGACTGTGGTCCTGTGAAAAGATGTAAGGAAACACTGGAGGGAAGGCCAGCAAATCCACTTGCAAATCTCCTTCAGCTTACCAACCTTGAGGCCAGGAATTTCCTTTGGATTGGAATGGGGGAGAGAAAAATCAGCTATGGCTTATTGCCACCCGCTTTTTATTTGTGTTCTGTTTCTTACTCTGTTGCTTCTATGGACAAGGGGTGGCAGTTTTCTTCCTGTGGATGCTTGTGGCAACAATTCATGGCGGTGAAAGGTATTGTTCAAAAGCCACAGAGTGAAAGTCTACTTGGCACAGAGTGGGCTGCTCAAAGTGAAAAACAGGGTGGGAACTATTACTAGGCCGTTGGTTGTTTAATCTGTGTTTGAATGTATTGTGTGCATGTTTGTGTTCTACCCAGGTGTTTGGTTAAACTGGCTTAATTTTTGTCGTTGTGCTTTGCTTGTTTTCCTTACAACAGAATAGTTAATTTCTTGTTTATTTGATTTGGTAAGATTCAGCATGGATACTGAAATCCCTCGGCCTGTTGTCTTTTACATTTCATCTTGTTGGTTTCAGCTTGCCAAAATTACATTAAATCTTAATTCTGTCTTTTATGGTGTTAGCTATTCCTTCCAGCTTTATGTCATCTGCATCCATCTATAAATAGGAACTCTGCAGCTCTGATAATGCACGAATCATGTCTTCGTACTTTTGAGAATTTTCTGGTGGATCTCTCTTTGTGGCAGTCTCCTTGTGTGACAGAAATCCACTTGCACAAAGGAACTTTCTATTTCTCCTTTTCCATCCCACTCTAACCCCCCTCCCACCAGGCACCCTCAAAATCATTTCTGGAGTGTTCCTTCAACACTTGGGAGCAGATTTTGTGGGTGAATTGAAGGCTGCAGGGGTGAGAAAGGGAAGTGGATGCCCCGTTCCATGAGCAAGTGGCTGCTTGCACTACTCTTGATCTCACCTTCTGTGTCAATAACCTGGAATTTTTATTTTGTAATAAAAAAATTAATCTAGGATTTTGAGAATTCTCCAAAGTAATGAAGAAAAACCCCACTACTTTGTCGCCTTCTGTAATTCTTCACAGAATTCGATCTTCTGGAAGTATTAAGTGCATTCAGAGCTACTCTACTTCCCCAGAGGCATATGCCGGGAATATCTGTCAAACTGTTTAACCTATGGAATAATTGACATCATAAAATAATAACAATAACAGTAATAATCTGTATGATTTATGGTGTTTATTCCTGAAATGCTTCACATGCATTTATCCTTGCAATTCATATATATATATATGCATAGAAATAATGATGATGATGATGATGATGATGATATACTAATGGCCTATAAATTAGGCCGACGGTATTATCCCTATGGATGGTGGACTGAAGAGAGATAGTGGTTTGCTTAAAGCCACACAAAGAGCTCAAAAGTGAGGCAATATTTAAACTGAAGATTCTACACATAGACCACCATAGTATATGAAGTTTGAAAAGACAAATCAATGGTAATAGTCAATTAATCTTTACTCAGAGTAGACCCATTAAAATTAGTGGACATGACTAACCGAGTGTAGTCTGAGAACAGTTGGCTTCCTCAACCTCGGCCCTCCAGATGTTTTTGAGACTACAATTCCCATCATCCCTGACCACTGGTCCTGCTAGCTAGGGATCATGGGAGCTGTAGGCCAAAAACATCTGGAGGCCGAGGTTGAGGAAGCCCGAGTTACCGTAGTGAATACAGCCAGTATATGTGTGTCAGGCTTTATGTTAAAAGCAATCAGATCAGTAAACCAGGGGTTTGCTGACAATGCTTACACATTTACTATGGAGGGTCAGTGGTCACGCAGCAATTTCTTTTTACTTAGCCATTCAGTTTTCGATCTGCTTCTGGCAAAGCAGCAGCAGGTCAAGGAGTTCACATAACTCAGAGATCAACCTCCTTACCGTTCATTCACTTATGCTGTACTTCCACATTTAGCCTGCCCCAGGGTCACAAAAGTCTGAATTCAAATACTGCATGTTTATTTTTAACTTCATGAATGGCTTAGCAAAAGATCCCTGATAGGCACACTAGGACATTTAGCTTCCACATTCAGCGGGAAGCAGATCTGTTCCTGAGATTCCCACACAGCATTTAACGTAGGGTAATATCCCCATTTACAATCTAGCAATGCTCACCACCCCAGGGGTGCACCAGCCATAGGAACCTCAAGCAAGTGCACCAGCCCATAGGAACCTCAGCAAGTTTGCAAGTTTGCAAGTTTGCATTTTGTCCTTTAACTTTCATTTGCACGCTTGTTGTTTTTTTAACACAAAATCAAAACAATTAAAAGAGAGAGAGAGAAAAGGCAAATTCCAGTTATTGAAAAGCAATGGGAGAAGGGAACGGACTACAAGGTACATAATGGCAAAGGGACATGAGGTTCAAATCCTGTGGATCATCACTTTGGTAGTGGAGATTTAATCTAATCACCAATTCCTCTTTCTCCCAAATCTGCGTGGAAAAATGTAATCTTTTAGATTACTGTACTGTTGTAATCTCCTGCCAACCTAGCAGTTTGAAAGCACCTCAAAGTGCAAGTACCGTATTTTTCGCACCATAGGGCGCACCGGACCATAGGGCGCACCCAGTTTTCTGGGAGGGAAATAAAGGGGGAAAAATTATTTCCCCCCCAGGCGCGGGGCTGGGGCGGCTCGAGCTTCCCCCGACCCCAGCCCCCAAACAGGCAGCTCTCTGCAAGCCGTGGGAGCGCTCCCGCTACTTGCGGTGAGGTCCCCGAAGCCTGGGCGCGCTGATCTCAGCGTGCGCAGGCTTCGGCATGCAGGCAAGTCTCCACAAGCAGCGGAAGCGCTCCCGCTGCTTGCGGAGAGGTGTGCGAAGCCTGGAGAGCGTGAGGGGTCGGTGCACACCGACCCCTCTCACTCTCCAGGCTTCAGTGAAAGCCTGCATTCGCACCATAGGACACACACACATTTCCCCTTCATTTTTGGAGGGGAAAAAGTGCGTCCTATGGTGCAAAAAATACGGTAGATAAATAGGTACCGCTCCGGCGGGAAGGTAAATGGCATTTCTGTGTGCTGCTCTGGTTTGCCAGAAGCGGCTTAGTCATGCTGGCCACATGACCCGGAAGCTGTCTGCAGACAAACGCCGGCTCCCTCGGCCAATAAAGTGACATGAGCGCCGCAACCCCAGAGTCGGTCACGACTGGACCTAATGGTCAGGGGCCCCTTTACCTTTACTGTTGTAATGTGCACAAATAGCCACTAGGGGCCTAGGAGCCAACTCCTAGGGGCCAAGGTCTCTTTGCCCCACCCCATAAAATATTTGAGGGGCCCCCACAGTTGAGGGCAATTCCCATTCAAATGGTGTGTGTGCTGTGTCACATGATCGATTATGTGGGGCAGGGTTTATCTCTCCCCCCCCAAAAAAAATACCACAAAGCAAAAACAAGCACAAACAAGAATTGAATAGTTTGTGCTTGTTTTTGCTTTGTGGTATATTTTGTGTTCTCATTTTAAGTTTTTATGTTGTAGACCACCCTGTGATCTTTGGATGAAGGGCAGTATACAATTATTATTATTATTATTATTATTATTATTATTATTATTAAGCATACAGGCTTTAGGGCCCAGTTGAAAAGTCAACAATTATATCTGGGATAGGTATTTGCAATTGAAGTCAGCGGCTGTTACATATTCTGCACTCATTCAGAATCCAAATGAGGTTCCCTGACATTCTATCTTAAATGGGTGCTGCTTATTAAGATTGACATGACTTCTATCTTCATCATAATCATTTATTTATTTATTTATTTATTAAAGACACCCCACCCAGCAACAAAGGCTCTGAGGGCAGGGTACAGCAACAGTAATAACACAATAAAAGCAAAACAAGAATACAAAAACCAACAGAAACTGACACGGGGACAAATAGAAGAAGACACCTTCACCCCGGTTTGGCTCCCCTTTATCACATACACAGCCCAACAAGTCAATGACAAAAATCCACCAACAGCATACAAATCAATATGGCTAACCTGATCCAAAACACCCACCCACCTCACTCAAACATGAAAACAAAGACCACCACAGCCAACTACAAATGAACAACCACACCCTAGGCCAACCCCAACCTCTCTCACCACCAGAGGAACACAAGCAAACAACAAAGAACCTGCACAAGCAACGCTGACACCAAACCCTACATATAGTAAGTAAAATAGAAACATTGCCACCTGACCCCACCCCCACCCATCTCTCCCCCCTCCACCTCTTTTCCCCTTTTCTTCCTAATGTCTCAACAAATGAATCTGACTTGTAAAAATGTTACATGGGGAAAAAAATATGAGAGAGAGAGACATTGCACACACTTTTGTAAATCAAGAAAATCTTTAATAATAATAATAATAAGAAGAAGAAGAATACAAAAACCATTTCCATCCAAACATGAAAAAGCACAATAAAATGGCACATCTTAACAATGAAAACCCAGCAGACAACCACAGATAGATATAGACGGATGTGTGTGTGTGGGGGGGAGAGAGAGAGAGAGAGAGAGAGAATCAAGCGTGGGAACATTTAAAAGCTCTTTGTCTGACACTGAAATGATATAAACACAGACACTTTGCAAGCATCCCTGAGAACACTGCAGAGGTGGCGTACCAGAAACAAAAAGACGCTCTCCGGTCATCACTTACTTTGAATGACTAGGGCACCCCAGTTCATATTAACATCACAGTGACTGAGCAGACCACTAGGGAGGAAGACAGTCAAACAAACATCTGTCCACTAAACTATGTAGGGCTTTAAACCTCAGTACCCACAAGTTGAACGGACTCTGAAACCCATTGGGAGCTGGTCAATCTGCTAGCATGAACTGGAAGTGTAGAGGCAGCGTGGGGTGGGCACACAGTGGGTTTTCATCACTCGTGATGAGAAAAGTGTCTTTAGCTTTGCTTTCATTTGTATCAGAAGCTCCCTTATATTATCATTATTTCTTGAATTTATATACGGCCCAAACCCAGAAGTGTCAGGGCTGTTCAGGAACACAGGAACTGTCAGGAACACAGGCAGCTGCTTCCTACCAAGCCCAGCATTGTCTACACTAACTGGCAGCAGCTTCAGAGTTTTCGGACGGGAGCCTGACTTGGAGTTGCCAGGGAGTTGGAGCTGTCTGCTCCTGAGCCACAGCTTTCCCTTCACTACTGTGCTGGCAGCTATGCAGGCCCTCATGCAGAGGTCTTCCCCAGACATGTTAGCTGCGATCTTTTTAACTGGAAATGTCAGGGATCCTACATGGGATCTTCTGCACACAGTGTGCTCCGACACTGAGCTATAGCCTCTTCCCAGCTGTAGGCCAACTGGCAGAAAATGTGGCAAAAGAACTTGAGTTCAAAATGGAGAATGAACACAGGTTTCCTATGCAATCCTAGGCATCCCATTCCTCTTCCTCTCCGTGTCCAATTCATCCCTTGACTATTTTAATGGCAAGGGGGTGTCTGTGTTTTCTTAGTGTGTTTAAGCCCCAGTTCCAGCCCCACCATGCTGCCATTAGGTTCCCCAATGCAGTGCCTGTGAGCACAAATGGAGCCCTCAGAACACCCACCTTTGGCACCAATAAAAAACATACAGTTGTTTTGGCTTTTTGCTTGTTTGTTTGGCAGGAGAGTTGCCTGCTTTTTTCTTAGTGTCACGGGGCACATGTGGCTGTTTGCTCTATTTTTGTGTGGGGGCTGGGTTCTGAACATTGCCAGTTTTTCTTCTGTGAAATGGGTATATTTTTGGTGCCCACAACCGTTTCTTTGATTTCCATCTATGCCCCTTGGCCCAGTATCCTTGTTTGCTATAAAGTACAATGGCACAGTGGCCATGATGGGGGAAATCCTTTTCTTCAATGGAAACACCTGTGAGAATGAAAAGAAATACGTTTTGCATGAAAGAAGCCATGTGGCCTCTACTACTGCTGCCCTGACCAAACTTTACCAGTCATTATTCACTTCTGCTTAAGAGGGCTTGTTTGGATGCTGCAGTAGCTCCTAGTGTTAAGGAGGAAAGTTTGGGCACATCCACATAACTGCGAAATCCTCCTTTTAAATGAGCAAAGGGTGCCACTTAGCTACAGGGTGCTGGATGGACTGTGCCATGCGATGCCAGTGGTCATTCATATCGTTGGGTCCTCGTTTCCCCAGCACAGCCTGTCCTACAAGCTGCTTGCTTCTGGGACGCAGCTCATAAATGGAAATGAGGAGAGCACAATCCCAAACTATAGGCTGAGGCAGGTGGAACAGGAACGTTTCATTGAAGACAGTAATTGATGTGAGGGTCTTGGGCTTGGATTTCTGATGCTTCTGCTTATGGAGATTGCAGAAGACATCGATCCTTGCATATATACCTGGAACAGAAAGAGCATCAGAAGGAGTGGCAACATGAACACCAGAGTCTCTGTCAATTCTGGAGTTATTGACCCAAGATCACAACTATTCCTCTGAACTGGGCAGAGATTTAATAATTTATATTTTCCTTGCATTGAGGCTGAGAGGGAGGAATTTGACGATGATTGGAAGCAGCAATACCTTCTATCTCTGGGAGAGGGAGGACTACAAATGTCTGTGACACAGCCATACAGGAGAGGCAAAAGGAGGAAGAATCTAACACTGCAAATGAGATATAATGAGCTAAGGCTTCAGAAGCACTAAGAACAACATACTCTGGAGCAAACTGGATATGCATATTAATCTCTAGCTTGGTCGCAAGAAAGCAATTACAGAATATAAAACAAGGGTTCTAGTAGGGTTGCCATATTTCAAAAAGTAAAAACCAGAATACACCGAAAGCTTTTTTTTTTTTTTAGGAAGACCCCAACATTCTTGAGCTTTTTTTTAAGGAAAACCCAAAAGGGCAAAGTGTTGCTTTTTGGAAATTCACCCCACCTTTAAAATCCCAGTAATGTCCAGGAAAATCCGGATGTATGGTAGCCCTAGTTCTAGAGATCTTTTGGAAATTTAGATAAACATGAAACTCATATTCCAGTAAAACAAAAAAAAAAGCAAGCCTGTTGTCCTCATCTTTGTATGGAAAAGCCTTGTAGTTTTGTATCTGCTGGTGTCAGAGATCAAAGCTGGACTTCCATTTATCAGAAGATGAGGGTCCGGGTCCCTATATAGTTCCCCCACTCCCTTCAATTATTATTATTTGGTCATTTCTCCAGCCCACCTATCTCAGTTTTTGTGCTCTATTGCCTTTCAGCAGTATGCTACATCCATTCTCTTCAGTCACATCTTTGGACCACTTCCTGCACTACAGCCTGAAACAACTTCAAGGGGACAGAGATAGTGAGCTGGGATTTCAAGATTGACTTTATGCTTTTAATGCATGGGGTGAGGAGAAAATGATCATTTCCCAAGACACTCTCCACCTTCAACTATTACTGCTACAGTGTCTGTAGAACTTTAATCTGGCTCTAATGATACCAAGACTCTACATCTCTGGGTCAGTTTTTCTCAACATATTCAAGAATACACCTCTCTTGTGAGTCACCTCTTTCCAGGTGGGACAGCAGGTCCGAAGGAGGCAGCACCCAAACATCAGGCAAAGAACAAGAAAACAGATATATTTACGTTTCTCTGGACTGTTGTACAAGAAGGCAGTTTTCACTTTCAGTAGCCCAACCTCTATCTTCTGAGAGATCGGAAGACACTTCAGTGACACAAGAACTTCTCCGACTGTGTCCTGTGAAAAGATGTAAGGGAAACACTGGAGGGGAAGGCCAGCAAATCCACTTGCAAATCTCCTTCAGCCTTACCAACCTTGAGGCCCAGGAATTTCCTTTGGATTGGAATGGGGGAGAGAAAAATCAGCTATGGCTTATTGCCACCCGCTTTTTATTTTGTGTCTGTTTCTTACTCTGTTGCTTCTATGGACAAGGGGTGGCAGTTTCTTCCTGTGGATGCTTGTGGGCAACAATTCATGGCGGTGAAAGGTAGTTGTTCAAAAGCCACAGAGTGAAAGTCTACTTGGCACAGAGTGGGCTGCTCAAAGTGAAAAACAGGGTGGGAACTATTACTAAGGCCGTTGGTTGTTTAATCTGTTTGAATGTATTGTGTGCATGTTTGTGTTCTACCCAGGTGTTTGGTTAAACTGGCTTAATTTTTGTCGTTGTGCTTTTGCTTGTTTTCCTTACAACAGAATAGTTAATTTCTTGTTTATTTGATTTGGTAAGATTCAGCATGGATACTGAAATCCCTCGGGCCTGTTGTCTTTTACATTTCATCTTGTTGGTTTCAGCTTGGTTTTCCAGCTTGCCAAAATTACATTAAATCTTAATTCTGTCTTTTATGGTGTTAGCTATTCCTTCCAGCTTTATGTCATCTGCATCCCATCTATAAATAGGAACTCTGCAGCTCTGATAATGCACGAATCATGTCTTCGTACTTTTGAGAATTTTCTGGGTGATCTCTCTTTGTGGCAGTCTCCTTGTGTGACAGAAATCCACTTGCACAAAGGGACTTTCTATTTCTCCTTTTCCATCCCACTCTAACCCCCCTCCCCACCAGGCACCCTCAAAATCATTTCTGGAGTGTTCCTTCAACACTTGGGAGCAGATTTTGTGGGTGAATTGAAGGCTGCAGGGGTGAGAAAGGGAAGTGGATGCCCCGTTCCATGAGCAAGTGGCTGCTTGCACTACTCTTGATCTCACCTTCTGTGTCAATAACCTGGAATTTTTATTTTGTAATAAAAAAATTAATCTAGGATTTTGAGAATTCTCCCAAAGTAATGAAGAAAAACCCCCACTACCTTTGTCGCCTTCTGTAATTCTTCACAGAATTCGATCTTTCTGGAAGTATTAAGTGCATTCAGAGCTATTCTCACTTCCCCCAGAGGCATATGCCGGGAATATCTGTCAAACTGTTTAACCTATGGAATAATTGACATCATAAAATAATAACAATAACAGTAATAATCTGTATTGATTTATGGTGTTTATTCCTGAAATGCTTCACATGCATTTATCCTTGCAATTCATATATATATATATGCATAGAAATAATGATGATGATGATGATGATGATGATATACTAATGGCCCTATAAATTAGGCCGACGGTATTATCCCTATGGATGGTGGACTGAAGAGAGATAGTGGTTTGCTTAAAGCCACACAAAGAGCTCAAAAGTGAGGCAATATTTAAACTGAAGATTTCTACACATAGACCACCATAGTATATGAAGTTTGAAAAGACAAATCAATAGGTCATAGTCAATTAATCTTTACTCAGAGTAGACCCATTAAAATTAGTGGACATGACTAACCGAGTGTAGTTCAGGCTTCCTCAACCTCGGCCCTCCAGATGTTTTTGAGACTACAATTCCCATCATCCCTGACCACTGGTCCTGCTAGCTAGGGATCATGGGAGCTGTAGGCCAAAAACATCTGGACGGCCGAGGTTGAGGAAGCCCGAGTTACCGTAGTTGAATACAGCCCAGTATTTCCTGTAAAGGTCATAAGACCTCAGGGGAATTTCCACTCAGATATGTAAGACGGTGTTGAAATTCCAGGCCTTGCTCTGCTCACGCAAATTGCTTAAGGAACATTTTCCTGCGTCACGTAAGTTGACCCTAGATGCTGTTTCTCAGTTCAGGTGTTATTAATGTGATTTCCACATGAATATTTTGCTTTTCATTCCAAGTGCAAAAGTTTGCACTCCATTAATTAATTATGGCCTGGATTTGAACCCATAGTACACAACAATACAACCACTACCCCACACTGATTTTCTGGGAAATAACCTTCATAATTATTTTGCACTTATTTGAACAGACACCCCACCATATTCCTTATAACACAAGTCCCATGCTGTTGCTTTCCCCATTATCTGATTTGTTCAGTTGCCGCCTCCCTTTCACACAGGGGTTGATAAAAGCACTATTTCATTCACCTCATCAACGAACACGTCAAAATTTTATCCATTTGCTTTTTTGTGTAGCTCACAAAAACAGTTTCCCCTACATGCAAGATAAAATGTAGGTATGTAGTCCACCACCAGGCAGCCTGAGAAACTTGGGGGAGGATTTTTTTCTTTTTTAAATGGCTTAAGAGCCCAATATATTGAGAAAAAGGGAAGCATACGCTGACAGGAAATGCACAAATAGCAGTAATGGGGCACCATGTGTGAAGCCAAGCAAAAGGAATGGAACAAAGTGGAACAGAGGGCAACCGCATGTACCCCATGGTTGCAGGAAAGACATGCACTTATTGGAGATTTCCACAAGATGGAGGCATTGCTCCATAGGCAGCTGAAAGATCAGCAGTTCAGATCTATGATGCACCTAGTTTTTTATTGACAATTTGAAATTATATCGTTACATGCTTTGAAAGGGCTTTCTGTCCCACCCCACTCCTCAAACCACATGACTAGAGCCCTGTGTTTTTTTGAGGCAATTTCTTGCCTCATTTTGAGAATAGCGGCTTCATGTATGAAATGTCATAAAACTTCAGCTTGCAAGTCTCAGTCTTAGTTAGTTGGTGTTAGGGCAATGGTGATGCTTCGCATCTGTATGTATCTGAAAAGCCTACCAAGCTGGAGCTTTCTTTTCTGTGTATAACTTCATCCAGAGTTGTTTTCTAAGCCTACTATTTATACAGCAGAATTGGACCTTTCTCTGCTTCTGTATGGTGGCTGGTACTGCAAGCAAGATCTACACTTTCACTGTGTGTGTATCTTATATCAGATTCCCAATGAATTACAATGGTACCTTGGTTCTCAAACGCCTTGGTTCCCAAACGCCAAAAACCCGGAAGTGTTCCAGTTTTCGAACGCTTTTCAGAAACCGACGTCCGATGCAGCTGTTGGCTATTGTTTCTGGGGCGCCTGCACCAATCAGAAGCTGTTTTCGAACATTTTGGAAGTCAAACGGACTTCTGGAACGGATTAAGTTTGGTGCTTTTGTTTTTGCTATTTATTTTGCGTTTTTGTCTTTGAGGCTTTTTTGGTTAATTTGTTTTTGTGACTGTGTGGAACCCAGTTCAGCTACTGATTGATTGATTGATTGATTGATTGTGTGACCGTGGAAATGGATAAAAGCCCCCCACCCAAACAATGACTATCAGCAGTGCAGGTAAGAAAAAAATATTAACGTTAATTTTTATCATCTACAATACTGTCTTATTTTATAGTACATTGATTATTTCTTTCATTTTATGGATCAATGGTCTCGTTAGACAGTAAAATTCATGTTGAATTGCTGTTTTAGGGGTTGTTTTTAAAAGTCTGGAATGGATTAATCCATTTTGCATTACTTTCTATGGGAAAGCGCGCCTTGGTTTTCAAACACTTTGGTTTTGGAACGGACTTCCAGAACGGATTAAGTTTGAGAACCAAGGAACCACTGTATACCCCAGCCAATCCACACTTCACAAGATAACAAAGACTGCAGGGCATAGGGGGATGGAGGAGTGCTCAGCCCCACCTGCAGCCACTGCTTTTCCCTTGCAACTGCCCTCAGGCCCCCCCTTCCTCTTCAGCTAGGCTCACTTCCATTTTGGAGCCTTTTGGGGGGGGGACATTTGCAGTGAGGAATCAGGAGCCGGCAGAAGAGTTCAGTATCTCCTCCTCCTCCTCCTCCTCCTCCTGGCTGGAACTGTGTCTTTCCCTCAGCTAGGAGAGATGGCACCTCTCAAATGTGTGGGGAGGACCTATACATGATTTTGGCAGCTCGACTGTCTATTGCAGTTCAAGGGGAAATGGCTCAGAATCTCACATTGGACCGATGGTACCACCCCTTACTGCATGTAGATGTGACTTGAGATTTAAACAAGGGCTGGAACTTCCAGGTGCTTTCCACATGATATGGCGTTGCCTTCTTACACATACATACAGCAAGACCAACATTTGCAAGGCAACCCTCATTACAAGCCTGGGAGATTTGGAATTACACTTGACTTCAGTATACTTTATTTATACGAGAACAACCTCCATTTTCATCTATCTCTCTTGGGACTGGACTTTGTTACTCACCTTAAATACAGACGAACCTATGTTACATGCCTCCTCTTTGTTTTGTTTTTTCCACCTTTAAAAAATATTTCTTATAACTGTCTTTCATGTTATATGTACACTGAAAATCAGCAACAGCAACAACCGGGGGAAACCGACATAACATTTCACAAGGACAGGAAGAAACACCACGGACAGAATAACTGCCAACCAGGAAGAACAAGGATATAGCTTGAGTGCCTCACTTGTAGTTCTATAAATCATCTAATGTGTCAGCACGAATGGAAGTTATTCATATTGCAGTTGTTGTATAAGGGATTCTTATTTTGACTGGAATGTAATTGAAATTAATAAGATTTTGGAACGCAGAAATAAAGAAAATAATCAAACCATCAAATCTAGCATGCAGAGGGCCACCTAAATTATATAATTTAGTACAGTGGTACCTTGGTTTACGAACTTAATCCGTTCCGGACGTCCGTTCTTAAACCAAGGCACGCTTTCCCTAGTGAAGCCTCCTGCTGCCGGTGCCCTTCCACCGTTCAGATTCCGTTCTTAGACCAAGGTAAAGTTCGCAAACCGGGACATTACTTCTGGTTTTGCGGAGTTTGTAAACCGAATTGTTTGTAAACAGGGCTGTTCTTAAACCGAGGTACCACTGTATTTGAATGAATGGTATTAGAAATTGTATTATAATTTGGTATTGTTATAATGAGGCTATTATTGGATTGCAATTGAAAAATTAATAAAAATTCTTATTAGAAAATATTCTAAAAGTCTATTTAAAAAAATATGTGGGGAAAAGGAATGGAAGAGAGGAACCTTGGGTGAAGCAGGTCTCTGGGCTACCGAGGAGAGGAATCAGCATAACAGAAGCATGAGAAGGGATCCTGAGGATCTTGCAATGCAGGAACATGCAGCTGTCTCATACTGGGATTGAACCTGCAACCTTGGAGTTATTAGCGCCATGCTCTAACCAACTGAGCTATCCATGCTGACATCCTTAATATTCTGGGGCATATCCACTCCCTTGAAGCCGCCTGCCACTGATTCAGCCGAGCCCCACCTGCTTCCACTACAGCTTGGTCTGAAGCAACAACCAGACTCACCAAGACTCCATTACCGTCCACTGAGACACACTAGCAAGGGACTCACCCATATCATCTGGCCTACTTTTTTGTGGGAACAGAAGTTTCGTGCTAAAACACTGAACCAGGAATGTGGGAAGCTCTTCTCTAAATGCGCCCTTCTGTAAAACTATAGAAGACTACCCACTATCGCTCTCACCTGTAACTTGACGCTGCTCGTTGTCAGTTCGGCCTCCTGCAGGGTACAAGTAAACTGATCCCCAAAGTCTGGGCTGCTGGAGTTCTTTGCAACATGGGTCTGCCATTCGTGGACAATATACTGGAGATCAGGAGACTGGGAGGAGGCCCAGCTCAGCAGCCTAACCTTGACAAAGGTGTTGGTGCACTGTTGGATGGGTAGGCCCAGGGCTCCTGTGACGGTCAAGAGGAGCTCCAGCTGCTCTTTGTTGTAGAGAAGCGAGAACTTCAGTTTGCCTGGATACTCATCAGAAACAACTGCATCACTACTCAAGTTGCCCATTTCATGGCTATTTTCTGAAGCTGGTGGCGAAAAGCAGATCCCAATCTTCTTGAGCTCCTTTTGGATTCTTTGGATCTGGACAAAATGAGAAAGGTGTGCTCTTAAAAGTGACTGACTTCTGAGTAAACAAACATTGGGTTGAACTGTTATAGGCGTATTTATTTATTGATAAAAAATACTTGTATACCACCATTTTAAAACGATCAAATGGTGGTTTACAACAATTATAAATACACAATTAAAAAACACAGATCACTAGCTATTACAGAAAATGTTTTTCTTAATTGTCTGCATAGGCCTGGCAGCATAGAAAAGTCTTCGGCAAATGTTTAAAGGTTAATGCAGAAGATGCCTACTGAATCTGTATTCTACAGGGCTGGGCCAATGAAAGGCTCAGTTTCATGTAGATGTCCAAGGAGTTCCATCAGCTTGTGGGACAACCAGTGACGCACCTATGGATGATTTCAGTGATCAAGCAGGGAAAGAAGTGTTCAGGCAGCCCTAAGGTATCTTGAACCTAAGATAAATTAATACAAGGGCCTGGAACCTGGCTCAGTAGTGGATGGGCAGCCACTGCAGATGTTATCACCATTAGCAGTCTAATGGTGTCCCCTTCAGCAGTCTGGCCGCCACTTTCTGCAGCAGCTGGAGCTCCCAAAGAACAGATATCCATAGAGCACATTGCAGTAAACCAGCCCCAGTGCATGAACTACAGTGGTCAGGCTATTCCTGTCCAGGAAAGGCTGTAGCTGACCAACCACACTTTGGCTTCTAGCGACAGGAATGTACCCAGGAGTACCCAAGCTTACATATCTGCACTTCCAGAGGAAGTGCGACCCTGTCCAGAATGGGTAACTTGCCTACCTCCCAGACATGCAAATCACCCTCTCAAAGAGCTTCCGTTTTTCCAGGATTTAAACAGTTTATTGGCCCTCAACTAATCCAGCACTGCATTCGGACACCAGTCCAGAGCTTGCATAACCACTCCTGATTCAAATGTTATGGAGAAGTAGAGCTGTATGTCATCAGCATACCAGTGACACCTTGCTCCAAGACTCCTAACGAGTGCTCCCAATAGCTTCATATAGATGTTAAAATAATTATATAGGTTCAGTTGATTAAAATAACACAAAACAAAACCCCATTTAAAAGAGTTGTAAAACACTTCAGGGATTGAAGGGTGGGGTTCTGATGTTACCAACACCAGCCAGTCACTGCTATGCACAGCTGCACACTGATAGATATCTTTATTGTCATTGTCCCATGCAGAACAATGAAATTGAAACAACCAATTTACCCCAAACTCAATTCCAGGCAGGTAATTCCACGTATGGTTGCAACCGGGGATTATTATACTTGCCTTGACCTCTTGAATATACTCTCGAGCAATGCCAAGAAGAGGTGTCTGCAATCTTTCCCCCTCGAAGGCAAGCTCTTCTGATATCCTTCTCCGGGCTTCATTGGCAAATTTTCTTTCTGCAAGAACAAACATAGCTGAGTGCATATCATCAGAGACAAGTAGGTCCATACATGAATATAAGGAGGGAAGGAACAAATATTTTTCAAAAAGGATCCTTGATGGGTCGGAGCAGGAAAGGGTGGTATCCATTGGCCCTGGTTGGGCAGAAGACAGAGAGGACAATAGGCAGAGCTAGGGAGAATGATAGGCAGAGCCAACTAATATCAGTTTCATCCCCACCCTCCTCCCTTCTGAGTTATGTAGCACTGAGACTAAGGAGGAGGCTGAACTGGAGGTACGAAAGCAGGTAGGTGGGGGCTGGCTGAGAGCAGACCAAGGTTGGTAGGCAGTGCCCCATTCTCCTGGATGGACCAGCCTCTGCTTGGTTGGAGGAACCCATAGAAAATTTTTATTACAAAGTAATGAGGTCATAAGGAAATGATGCCTCCTACCAAGTTTTGCATTAGAGTATTGTGCAATAAAATGAAAAGCTGCTCACATAGGTATCATGCAGCACCTGAGCCACACGTTTGTCATCATGCACCTAGATATAATGCCCTCTTTGTGTTTTCATGCACCTGTGCAGCTTCCATGCTTGCAATTCCCCCCATTCAGATTAATGGAAGGAGAGGGGATGTGGAAAGGGGATCCGCTCGCAGAGCTATGGCTCCATTGACACGAATGGGGAAGCTCTTCTAGAGAGCAGTTGCACCTCTTCAATTGCCTTCAGTTCTTTCCTAGTTAGGCTGCAAGTGTTCCTGACAAGAGTAAGAAGCAAGCCCAGGAGAGCGAGGCTTATTCAAGTCACACTCCAACAAGCCTTGTTTTTTTGTGATAGGTCATCGTGATTTTCCGCCTAATTTGGCTTAGTCCTTGATATAATTGTTCAACCCAAAGGAACACATGCTTCTTATCCACAATGTTCTCTGTAACGTACCTTCCCATAATCTGCTGGACTTCCGGCATCTGCTCAGTTGGCAAGTCAGAATGATTAATGCCACCACCAGCAGGAGAACAGACAGTGCCAACATGCCATATTTCCAGATATCGGGGAAGGGCAGCTGAAGTAGGGTCATAGCTCCCTGCTGGAAACAGAATGGATGCCCTTCAAGACTACTAGCAGTCACATCATGTTCAATCTGTACCATGGAAATGGAACCACATGGAACAATGTCCTCCAGATGTTGGGCTCCCAATCCTCATCATTCCTAGCAAATATGGCCAATGAACATCTGGAGGGTACCACATTGGTAATCCCTGGCCTAAAACAAGGTTGGCAAGCCTGCAGTCCAGGATCTAGCTAGGCAATGGATTTGATGTGGCTGCTAACCCCCTTCTTTCCCCCCACTGAAGGCTGGTCTCTACCATGAATGGAGAACCACAGCTTTGTACTGGGGAGGAAAATCCCCTGTCCCTAGACCCATCACTCAGATAAGGTTTCAACTTTTAAATATGTAAAAAGCAAAAGCAAATGGGCAAGTGTTGCAAAATGCCTGAATATGTAACTGCAGGTGAAATAACACCATATCTACATGGCCAGAATTTAGTTTTCAATTAGGCTTATTGCCCTTTCCTTCAAGCTGCATTCCCAAGCTATCCAGCTTGCGACGGCCAGGCCGGTGACCTGTATGAGCCTTACATTGTCCACCGGAACCTATATGTTATGGGGCCATCTCTTTAACCCTGTTTTGAGTAGCTTGCTTATTAATAAAAATAAGCAGTGCAGATAAATACAGTTCTTCAAGCCAACATGCAGACATGTCACCGCTGCGAAAGCAGAGTTTAGACGAGATCCAAAGAAGCCAATGTGAAAACCTTAACTGTGCCAACGAAGGTGAAAACTAACGGGGGGCAAGCGGTTCCCTGAGTTACAGTCCTGAATTATGGGATCTGCAGCTTAGCAATCGTACTGTGCAAAATATTAACAGGGGTTCTCTTCAAAATATTTTACTCACATATATTTATCCATTCTTTTCCAGATATCTTCTGCCCCAACTTTAAAAACCAAAACAATGATGAGTCAGTCATGGCTTGTTATTCATGCTTGACTCTCCCTGTTGTGGCTGCTGCTGCCACAACAGGGGAGAGGGATCTCGGGTATGCTGATTCAGTGCACCCAATTCCCAGAAGCTATGCTGCTTAGTTCATGTGAATGGATGGGCAATCTGCAGATTTGCTGGATGTAGACAATCTCAGTCATTGGAACTCAGGAGGAGATGCCAATGCTGGCAAAGTGCAGCCACATGCCCCACCGTGCCTCCTCTTTGCAAGCACCGCTTGCCACAATTCTGATTGTCCTCTAGAGTACAAAGGCATATTCCATGTTATCCTGTCTCAGTGGGAATCCACAGGAGAGCCAGTTTGCTTATGATTATCCTACAACAGGTGTCTCAAGCTCCTGGCACACTGTGAACCTACCACCTCCACTTGCCACAACATACTCACCCACCCACTCACCCACAAGCCACAACTTCGAATCGTACCTTTTCAGACGCCTGCTTGAGAAGGGAGATCCTGGTGCTTGCTGCAAAAAAGTGGTGTAGGACTTCCAGTGTAGAAAGGGCTGGCATGCTTCACCAGAAAAACAAGTTCTGCCTCATACAGCAAGAAAACTGGGATACAACTGATCTGGATTCATTCTGCAGAGCTGAAAAATAAGATCTTTATCTCCTTTTCCTAAAACAAAGTGCAGGTGCCCAGGTGCCCAGATCTCTTTGAAGGCTCAGGATCGGCATCTGGGACTGCTTTCAGATGACGCCAAATCTATTAGCTACCTGCTTGCTAAACATGGAGAATCTGCACTCCCCTGATTTATGTTGCCCCAAAGCATTTTGTACTTGGCCAACACGGAACCAACTTCCTAGAGCTATTGCACCGTACAATTTAATAGGTATGTTCAGTCACCATGAAACCAGCACATGTTTAGGGCAAGAGTAACTAACCTGGGGTGGCTTTGTGTTTTCCTAAAAGTAACAGATTGCTCCAGAATTCTGATTAGAAATATAGAATTCCATGGAAATTTGGATGCAAGTGTCCTAACAGGGGCCAACTGGGCGATGTGTGCTCAGAGAGACATGCACACACCATCATTCCTATACGTAAGAGAGTTTTTCAGCATAGGTAAAGGTAAAGGGACCCCTCACCATTAGGTCTAGTCGTGGCCGACTCTGGGGTTGCGGCGCTCATCTCGCTTTATTGGCCGAGGGAGCCGGCATACAGCTTCCGGGTCATGTGGCCAGCATGACTAAGCCACTTCTGGCGAACCAGAGCAGCACACGGAAATGCCGTTTACCTTCCCGCCGGAGCGGTACCTATTTATCTACTTGCACTTTGAAGTGCTTTCGAACTGCTAGGTTGGCAGGAGCAGGGACCGAGCAACGGGAGCTCACCCCATCACGGGGATTTGAACCGCCAACCTTCTGATCAGCAAGTCCTAGGCTCTGTGGTTTAACCCACAGTGCCACCCGCGTCCCCCAGACTGCCAGTTACTCGCCTGTTAAAAGCCAACTGATATTTTGCAGAGAGTTTGGCACAAGAGCAAAGGAAACAAATTCAAATAGAATGGAACAATAGAAATAGCATGTAAAGAGGGCTGGCAAAGTACAGTAGTATTTCGTAGCCCTAAGCAGGGGGAAAGGTATTCCCATATAAACCAAGAGGCACTCCAGATTTCTCCTGCAACAGAGGGATCAGGGGTGCATGGGCTTCCTGGTCATACCAAGAACAGTGCAACAGCTGGGCTCATGTGGGAGGGCAGCCCTTGAATTCTGAAACATGTCACGTTGTCTATCTTACTAACCTCAGGTGTAGTGGAGGATGCTACCCTGTCACCAGTTTTGAATAAGTTTCAATTTCTAGTCCAATCATCTTCAGAATGTGAAATGGGGGTGCCCTTCTGACCTTTGCCTCAGAAGGCAAAATGCCTTTCGTCGGCCCTCTAGTTATCACAATTACACATCTTCTGAGATGCTCAAGGAAGCATATGTGGTTTATCTTCATAACCACCCTGTGAAGTAGATTAGGTTGACTGGCCCAATGTCACCCAGTAAGCTTCATGGCAGAGGAGGGATTTGAACCTGACTGTAGTCCCACACTTTTAACCACCGCACCACACTGACTCTTACCCACCTAATACTTTTGCTAGAGGAAAAATACACATCATTAGAGGCATTCCCCTCACATACATGTGATGATCTCATGCGTGACTGCATATATGCCTGGCACTGGGAAAACTAATATTCAGTTCATACCTGGAAATGGCAGGAAAGAGCTTGAGAGTCCTTGTGGCTCATGAGAAGACCTTCCCCAGAGCCCAAAGAGGACATCAGTGAGGGCGGAGAAGAGACTGGAGGCATGGCAGGGCTTTGTTTAGGCTGCTCTGCCTCACCTTGTTTTTGGTATGGATCAAAGAGAAAGTGGTACAAAGGGCATTTAAAGGGTGCTCCCCACTTTACATGATTTCACTTATGCACACAGGGGCCCTGAACACAACCCCCATGTAAATGGGGGGACAAACACATCTGTATTTAATCTGCTATATGTTTGGGAAATTTGCTTGTCCATTTGCTATGAGTTTGGGGACACCTCTTAAGATATCATTACCAAATTTTGTGCAATGTTTCCTCATATCAAGGAACAGGTTTTCATCTATGTTTGAATATACAACTGGATGCCATTTTGAATCAAGATGGTCCACCGAACCTTTCAAAACTGCACTGATTTGAACCACCAATTGCAAAACTTAACTGATTTGGGAATTTTGAGCTACACCAGGTACAAGACTCCTATTGGAGAATAAGCATGATGCAGAGTAATCCTTGTTGCACTACAATGCATTGCACTATATCTTTGGTGATCACTTGTAGCCGAGTAAGATTGTCTTCCATAAACATGGTTTTAACAATGAGATTGTGACTGTGGAGGCCAATTCTGGACCCACACGTCCTTCCACAGTGGGGACATTGGTTCCTGGGCAGGAGTTGATCACGGTGTGGATTTGCCAAGCGTTCCTTCCTCTTAGCACGTTTCTCCCTTGCGTTCTGAGTTCGAGTGTCTTCAAAGTCCATGACACCTTTTGTAAAGGCTGTTCTCCAACTGGAGCGCTCACGGGCCAGTGGTTCCCAGTTGGCTGTGTTTATACTATTTTTTTTAAGATTTGCCTTGAAACAGTCACTATATAGGCAGCAGGTGGCGCTGTGGTCTAACCACTGAGCCTCCTGGGCTTGCCGATTGGAAGGTCGGCAGTTTGAATCCCCACGATGGAGTGAGCTCCCATTGCTCTGTCCCAGCTCCTGCCAAATTAGCAGTTTGAATGAACGCCAGTGAAAGTAGATAATTAGGTACTGCTGTGGCGGGAAGGTAAACGCTCTTCACGGTGTCCCGTTGCACAGAAACGGCTTAGTCATGCTGGCCACATTACCCAGAAAGCTGTCTGTGGACAAACACCAGCTCCCTTGTCTGAAAGCAAGATGAGCGCCACAACCCCCTAGTCTGCTTTGACTGCTCTTAACCATCTAGAGATCCTTTACCTTTTTTACCTATATAGGCAACCAAGTCAACTAGCACTACCTATTATTCTGGAGTGGACTTAGTGAAATTATTCCCTCATTATCAGTTGTAACCACAAAGGCAAATGAGTAAGGAGCAGCCTTCCCATCAGGTTATTCTGCACCACTGAACACAAAGCTCATATGCCTTCAGGCTGGCCATATCCCAGAGCAAATACTGAGCACAAGAAGATTCCTGCCAGGAATGCCAAAAGACATTTCAAGGGTCAGAGAACAAGGTGTGTGGGGCCAGAACATTCCTTTGTCATGGAAGCCTAGCCTGTATTGAGAGAGGGAGTGCTGGCACTTGTCCCCTTGTTGAGACTACGGCAGCAAGAGCATTGAAAGCTTTGATACCACGTCATCTAACTTCCCAGCAAACCAATCAGAATGAATGCTCAACAAAGAGATTGCAGGGAGGAACCCTAAGTCTTAAAACATATTGTGGAGCCCATCTAAGACATAACATGGTTGCGTGTATCCAGGCCCGTTTGCTTTCACCAGGGGGGAAATGACCCAGGCAGTCTGCA